CGCCCCCGCTTCTGAGGTTTTGCTTTCTACCCACATCAACTCCCTCACCCCCACACCGCGGATGCTGTGTTGGAAGATTGGGGGGAGTCGAAATCCACACATCTTCGGGCTGTAAAGGTTGAAAAACGCTGGTCTAGAGAGAACTATGTTCACACAATGGGTGAACTCAAACATTGCACTAAACAGTGGTTTTGGAACAAATCAGAATAGGCTAGGTTCACACATGAAGCTATACTGCGAACCAAACAAGCCATGTTAAGGTTTAGAGTGCTGAGTGAACCCAACCCTTGTCTCTCAGCCTAAACTACCCCCAAGGGTTGTCGCAAGGATAAGGACAAGGAGAGAGGCAGGAGAAAGCAAAGCCACCCAACGAAGAAATACAGCTGTTTCTTACAAGCGTCACTGCAAGAGTGAACACTTATGCACACCCCTTGCAGGCTTCCGGTTAGTGTCCCCCCCCCCCATGTGACATGGCCTGTCGGTCCAGAGAGCCGGAGAAAGGCACGTGGGCAGAAAGGCACCAGCCAGCTGGACTTCCACCTGGATCCTCAGCTCTGCAGTTGAGCAACTGGAACAAATATTTCCCTGTGAGTCATATTAAACCATCTTGGGCCGCTAGCAGATGTCAAGCCCCTCTTAGCCAGCCAGCCAGGCAACTCCCATTTCCACGAGGAAGAGAAGGACCTGTTCACGTGAAGGAGGGCCGCCATCTGAGCCTGATCTGAACTTTGCCCGTGCCAGGATGACTTTGACATTTTCCACGCCCACAGGCGTCCCAGGGTGGGCAGCTGCTTTGGGGATTCAGCTTTTCTCCCTATGCGGAGGGAACTCGAGCCCCCCTTTTCACCATCCAGAACAGCTTCTCTCATATTCCTGCCTCTGCTTCTCTTGCGGGTCAAAGGCGGCCATTTCTGCTTGGGGGCCTCCTGGATCACTTCGACTTCAAGACCCATCACTCCCAGTCACCACCCACTTCAGGAGGAGAAATCAGAATGAAGGTCATTCACTACACATATAAACCCTCTCCTTCCAAGCTTCCGTACCCATTTCAGAAATGCCCTTATTCCAGTCCAGGACCTTTATCCATTCTGCCTGTACAGGTAGTCCTCGCTTAACAACCACAATAGGGACCGGAAAATTGGTTGTTAAGTGGAACGGTCGTTAAGCAAATCATTGTGGTCATTAAGCAAATCACATGGTTCCCCATTACTTTTGCTTGCTGGAAGCTGGCTGGGAAGGTCACAAATGGTGATCACGTGACCCCAGGACACTGCAATCGTCATAAGTGTGAGCTGGTTGCCAAGCGCCCAGATCATGATCACATGACTGTGGGGGTGCTGGGACAATTGTAACTTCAGGCACTGGTCATAAGTCACTCTTTTTTAGCACTATTGTAACTTTGAATGGTCACTAAACAAATGGTTGTTAAGCGAGGACTACCTGTAGATAGAACCAGTATCCCCCAACGTAGGGGAACTGCCAGGATTCTCTCAACACTGGGGCCTCCTGCATTTCATTTGTTGCTGAAAAGTAGAAAATGGCTGGGTTTTGCCACCTGTTTGTCTGCTATGATGGTCACTGAGACCATAACCCAAGCAGGGCCAGTCCCACCAGAGAAAGGCAAAGATATTGAGGGCTGCGGAAAGTGGTATGTTGGAGGACACAGTTACGTTGCCTTGTTCTGCAGCTCCTAGGCCAGGCGCCTTCTTTCGGTTTTAAGCTACAATGGCCAGGTTCCCAGAACATACTAGAACCCAACAAACCACATTATGGTTTTGTGTGACATGCAAACCTAGCTGCAGGGTTCATATCTTACACCGGGCCCCCCAAACTCTTCAGCTCATCGACCCCTTCATGGAGATTCAGATGGTTCATCAACCCCCAAACATTTATTATATGAAAATAATTTAATAAATACTACTTTAACTAATAGTACTACAAATAATAATAATAATAATAGTAGAGACAATTCAAGGCCACTCTTGCTGGTGGTTGACCATCCAACTCTGGGTCATACTGTCTCGCTGCTAGACACCTCACCTTCAGGACCAGGGACTGGTGTCCCTACAGAGGGTAGGAACTACAGAGACCCTAAAGGATTAGTTGACCCCAATTGACCTTCCATCATTTATCAGCCACCCCAGACATTTACTGACCCCCTAACATTTATCGACTCCTTGGATAGTCCCATCATCCTTGGGGGTTGATATTGACCACTTTGGGGAACCCTGCCTTACACTGAAGTATTTATTCTGAAAGAAGCAGCAGTGGGATATTCACCAGCATGCCAAGACCTAAACCCTAGTTGGCAAAACATACAATATGCTGAGCATAAACCAATCCAATCACATGAGAGCTAGGTACCACATCCAAAGCCAGCAAGAACGATCTTTGGAGCTTTCAAGGTATCGGTCAACTGGCTCCCACTGGATCAGCTGGCCCATTAGACCTGCCAACCAGGTTGTTGGAAACTCACCTCAGTTCACTGGTGGTCATCCATTCGTCTTCTTCCAAAGGCACCTGGACCTGGTTACTATCGGCAAATTCCAAGGCCACGCCATCTCTCAGCCAGCTGATCTCCGGTGCCTCACCCAGAGCGAGGACAGAGCAGAAGAGTTTCGCGTCCTTCCCCAAAGACGAGGTCAGGTTGGAAGGACTTTCTTGGAAGTATCCAGCTAGAAGGAAAGAGAGAGGGTTGAAGTTCTCGAATCAGGAGAAGAGGAGGCACAACATCACAAAAGAAACCAGGAATTCAGCTCACAAGTCCTCGTATCAACTCAATTTGGAGGATTTGCCTATACGGGTAGTCCTCATTTAGCGATTGCCTCGTTTAGCAACCGTTCGCATTTACGATGGTGATAAAAAGTAACTTTGTGACCAATCCTGTCATTTATGACTTTTGCAGGTCTGTAAAGCAAAGGAAAGCTGAAGGAAGATTGTAAGCAGAGTTTCAGTTTCACTTAGCAACTGCTTCACTTAACGACCAACTTGTCATCCCAATTGTGGTTGCTAAATGAGGACTAACTGTACATGCAACCCACCTTCACAGGAACAAAGCTTTAAGTTTTTTTAACTCTGTTATAGGAGTTTTTTTTTCTGTGAGAGGATCTTGGGATTTATAGCTTTATGGAGTGTGTGATCTGATTCACATAGCACCGCAAACCACATGTGCCTAATCAGGGTTTGATGAACAAACCACAACTGGCTGGGTTCATACAACATACTAAGACAAATGCAAGCAATGTACAGAAATGTTTAGGAAAACGTGTGAACATCTTGAAAATCAGCTGGGGATTATGAAAAGGAAGACGTTATTATGACTATGGTTGTAGTTATATTTTGCAAAGCTGTGCCTTGAGATGGCAAAATAATTCTAGGTCTTCTCAAACTGCATCCTGGATCTTATTTAGGGGATGCCTGCATACCAAAATAAAAGATCATCATAGAGTTGGAGGGGATCCCAAGGGTCATCTAGTCCAACCCTTTGCAAGGTGCAGAAAAACCAATTAAATCATTCATGAGAGGTGGCTGTTCAGCCTCTTCTTTAAACCTCCAGAGATGGAGAACCCACAACCTGCACAGGTTATAACAGCTATGGCTGCTACTATGACTATTACCACTAGACCTAATCTTGTGTCTGTAAGAATAGCTCATTCTGCAGAACTCAGTTGGGGAAGACTTTTACCCCCCTGCAACCTGCCTAACTTGCACCACAGATCAAGCCTATATTTAAAAGCCCAGGAGCAGAACAGACTCCAACTTTCTCCCTACTTCTCTCCTTTTTTGGGGGGGGGGTGTCAGTTTTTGACTCCTGGCGGCTACCTGGACAAGCCCCTATGGTTTTCTTGGCAAGGTTTTTCAGAAGTGGTTTGCCCTTGCCTTCTTCCTAGGGCTGAGAGAGAGGGACTGGCCCCAGGTCACCCGGCTGGGTTCATGCCTAAGGCAGGTCTAGAACTCGAGGTCTCCCAGATTCTAGCCTGATGCCTTAACCGCTACACCAAACTGGATCTCATTCTGGAATGTACCAATTTGGGGCAGCTGGAGAGAACAGTGGCATTCCGATCTGGTTGACTGCAATTGCACATGCTTCACGATCCTCAGCTGCATTATGCCAGCCCTACCCACCTAATGATGGCTCTGGTATGGCATGGCACCCCGCAGAGATGCAGGGTGGACCAGGACAGAACAGAGAACCAGCGTCACAAACTATCAGAGACTCTGGATGTGCCCTTTGCCTTGGCAGAAATCCCAGATCTGGGCTGCAAAAATCTGGACAACCATCAGAGGGCGGCATAGAGATGCAGAGGTCCCTGACTCTTTACGGCCACCTCATGGTCATCTGGAACATTTGCAGCCCAACATGTTGCAAGAACTGCAATCCACAATAGAGGAGTGGAAGTCATGAGCAGAGGGAATGGCCTTGAGGGACAGGAGAAAGAGCCGTAACCAAGACAATGGGGAGATAAAAGGAATCTGAGTCCGGGCCAGAACTGTAATGTGAAAAGCGTCTCAGACAAGACCATCCTTAGTTCTCATGAAGATAAAGGGAGGGAGGGGGAAGCACATTCAGACTTGCAAGATTCTGTTACTGTAACCTTATAATAAAAGCAGTATTAGCTAGCATGCCTTTGGTTTCCTAATCTGGTTTATCCTGAAGGGCTAACGGTGGGGAACCTGTGGTGGTCCACATCTTGCTGAACTATAGCCCCCAGGATCCTTCACTATTAGTTGGCCGGCTAAATGTATTTGTCCAGCAGCTGAAGTGCTCCCTGTTTTGCCCCTAAACTTCCACACCTGGTTGCAAGGCAGGAATTCAGCTACTGAAATGTTTCTTCTCCTTTTTTCCGCATTTCCAGCCAGTACAAATGAACTTTACGGAGT